TCCTCTTCCTCCTCCTCCCTGCCGCCCGCTGTCGCGGCCTCTTCCTTGCTCCGCCAGCCGCCGCAGCTGTCCTCTTTCTTCCGTCGCCAGCCGCTGCTGGCCTCTTCCCGCCGCGCCGCCGCCCGCACTTTCCCCTTCCTCCTCCTCGCGACCGCGCGCCAGCTGCACATCTGTATAATAGGCCGTCCTATACCTCATCATGCGCCTCATTCGCCCACCGCCGCCGCTGCAGCCTGCTTCCTCCTCCCGCCGCCGGCAGCTGGTCCCTCTCAAACTCCCCGCGCCGCCGACTGGCTGCTTCTTCCTTCCCCGCCGCGCGCCCGCAGCTTCCTCTTCCTCCTTCTCCCCAAGCCGCCGCGTAGCCGCCATGCTTCCTCCTTCCCACCGCCGGCGAGCTTCTCTTCACTCCCCGTCGCCGGCCGCGTGCTGCCCGTCACCCTCCGCGAATCGACGGGCGCGACGGAAAGACGTGATAGACGACGAGGCAGCTTTCTTCCCCTCCCGACCCGACCGCCGGGCCGCAGCTTTCTCTTACCTCGCTCCGCGAGTAGGGGAGAGGACGTAAGTGTGGGGCGTGGGGCGGGAAGGGGAGGTGTAGCGGGCGGGAGAGGGGAGGGTGTGGTGGGCGGGAGAAGGGGGAGGTGTGGTGGGCGGGAGGCAGGGGACAATGTGCTGGCTGAAAGGGCGGCAGGGTGCGGTGGGCGGGAGAGGGGCGAGAGCTGTGGCACTGCGGCAGGAGAGAGAAGATGTGCGGGCCGGGAGGAGGGGAGGTTGGCATGGGGGAGAGGGGGAGTGTGGTGGGCGGGAAGTAAGGTAGGAGGGTGGCAGGCGGGAGGAAGGAGGTGTGGCGGGCGGGAGAGGGGGAGGTTGTGATGGGCGGGAGGGAAGGGAGTGGATGTGGGTGGGCGGGAGGGAGGGGGAGAGACTGTGGTGCGGGAGTAGGGGGAGGTGGCGCGGGCGGGAGAGGGGAGTGTTGTGGCGGGGGCGAGAGGAGGGAGAGTCTGTGTGGGGCGACGAGAGGAACGTGTGGTGGCGGGAGGAGGGGAGGTGCGGATGGGCCGGAGGAACGAGGAGGGAGGTGGGCAGGCGCGGAGGAGGGGAGGGTGCGGGGTGGCGGAAGAGGGGGACGGTGATGTGGTGGGCGGGAGGAGGGGGGTGGAAGGCGTGAGGGGGTGTGGCGGGCAGGAGGGGGAGGTGTGGCGGGCGGGAGGAGAGGGAGGTGTGGCGGGCGGGAGGAGGGGGAGGTGTGGCAGGCGGGAGGAGGGGGAGGCGTGGTGGGCGAGAGGAGGGAGAGGTGTGGCAGGCGGGAGGAGGGGGAGGTGTGGTGGGCGGAAGCAGGGGGAGGTTTGACATCAAGAGCAGCCGTCCGGTTTCGTCGTAGTCGGTCATCGTCATCGTCAGCATCGTCATCGACGGCATCGTCATCGTCAGCATCGTTATCAACAGCATCGTCATTGTCAGCATCGTCATCGACAGCATCGTCATCGACAGCATCGTCATCGACAGCATCGTCATCGACAGCATCGTCATCGACAGCATCGTCATCGACAGCATCGTCATCGTCAACAGCGGAGCACGTTGAACGGCACTGCGCGGGAGTGGTTCATGCAACCGACAGATGGCGTCACATGTCTCTGGCTGTTAAGCGTGAAAATATTACGGTCAATTGGATTTTTACATCGTCGAGGTGCACGGCTGCAGGTGTAAATTACAGACCAGGATGACGAACGAAATACGGACAAAAGGTAGGTGAAACCCCGTAGAGAAAGAAACAACCCGTACGGAAAATATACGAAATCTATACGCAAACAGTCAACGCGTACGCAGACACCAAAACAGGTATGTATCAACATTTCGCGTTTTCGATAAGATGCTGGACATCATCAAAGATTAATTATTAAATTATTAAAG